GCTTTTGTCTCCCTTGAGGGAGTGATTAGCACCAGGTGTGAGGTCTCCCCACCTGCTCCCAATACTGATAATTGGGAGCGGGTGGAGCCACCAATTGGGAATGTAGGTGTCTCCCACTACTCTGCCTCCCAGTCCCTTACACAAGCAACAAAAGTTGTAGCATGACATGTTATTTGACTTAATCAACATTTCATGTCATGACTTGTTCTATTCAAATGTCAGCCAGCATGAACAATAATAACTGAACCGCTGTGGTCACTTGTTTGGTTGAAGTCTTATCTAATATATTTCTATTTCTAAACATAATTGTTTAATGCTTATAATCCCTTGCCTTATCATATGTCCAACTATTTGGCCCCTGAAACATATAGTCACAAAAAGAGCTTAAGGCAGCAGATGTGTACCTGGTGTGTCAAAGCTTGACAACACTAACGGCAAAAAACTTCTAAACAGGTTACTCTATTCTAAAATGCATTTAATTAGTAACATTATTTTCCCTTTAATGTTTTATTTTTGTAAAGCACTTTGAATTGCCTTGAGTTGAAAGGTGCTACTGTATATAAATAAATGTTGTCATATAACTTTGTTTATTATATCTTAACATTTAAAACCAATGTTTGGACTGATGAAGTCAATGTTTAATAAGTATTTAGTTATGGTAAGATACATTTAAGGGTACTTAGTTAGTGTTAGGTGTTTGTTAGCTTGTACGTGTTTCTGTATAATGCATGAGCTCACTCCAGTTCTAGATATGTTAGTAATATATATTGTAAATAGCAGAGGTGGGAGAAGTACTCAGATATTGTACTTAAGTAAAAGTAGAAGTACTAGAGTGCAGGAATACTCTGTTACAAGTAAAGGTCCTGCTTTCAAAATGTTACTCAAGTAAAAGTAGAAAAGTATTAGCATCAAAATATACTGAAAGTACCAAAAGTAAAAGTAGTCATTGTGCAGATTGGTCCATTTCAGAATAATATAAACTTAACACAAAAAGTAAGGCAATTTGTGTTTGGTAGATGATTTCTATGTTGTAACAATGCTTTTTGGCAATAAATCATATACCGTTGGAAAGCCTGTTTTCTTACCTTTCCAATGGTACCGCATTTGTGAGGACCAAGCACTTATTGTAAATCGCTTTGGATTACATTGGATTACATTACATGTCATTTGTTAGAGGCTTTTATCCAAAGCGACTAACATACATTCAGTACTGTGGACAATCCCCACAGGGGGAAATGTAATGTGTGGGATGAGCAGCAGAGCTGAGTATGTGGGGTGCGCCCATGAAAAATGTGACTTTTTTTGCTGCTGACTCTAGTTTGGTGTTGTTTGGTGGATTGGATGATGGAAGTCTGATAAATAAAGACATATTGGCAACAATTGATTTATTAACAATTGATTCATTTAACAAGCGGCCTCAGTAGCGTGTGGAAGAACCAAGCACAGCCTCTTCTCCTCATGCTGGTCGCCAGCCTGCTCACACTCTGCTGTGGGATGGCATCCCATTCTTCAACCAGCATTTGTCCCAGCTCAGCCAATGTGGTTGTGTTGGTCACTCTGGCACAGACAGCAGGGCCAAGCAAATCCCACAAGTGTTCAATGGGGTTGAGGTCAGGACTGCAGGAGGCCATCCCATCCTCTCCTCTCCTACTCTATCGGTGCAGCAATCAGCAAAGCCTTCTCTGCGTCTTCTCCACACCGTGACCCTACCTACCATCCATGTGCCGTATGCAGAATCTGGACTCATCGCTGAACATAACGTTCCTCCACATGTTGAGGTTCCAGTGCTCTGAACATAACGTTCCTCCACATGTTGAGGTTCCAGTGCTTTGAACATAATGTTCCTCCACATGTTGAGGTTCCAGTGCTCTGAACATAATGTTCCTCCACATGTTGAGATTCCAGTGCTCTGAACATAATGTTCCTCAACATGTTGAGGTTCCAGTGCTCTGAACATAACGTCTCTCCACATGTTGAGGTTCCAGTGCTCTGAACATAACGTTTCTCCACATGTTGAGGTTCCAGTGCTCTGAACATAATGTTCCTCCCTATTTTGAGGTTCCAGTGCTCTGAACATAATGTTCCTCCACATGTTGAGATTCCAGTGCTCTGAACATAATGTTCCTCCACATGTTGAGATTCCAGTGCTCTGAACATAATGTTCCTCCACATGTTGAGGTTCCAGTGCTCTGAACATAACGTTCCTCCACATGTTGAGGTTCCAGTGCTCTGAACATAATGTTCCTCCACATGTTGAGGTTCCAGTGCCCTGAACATAATGTTTCTCCACATGTTGAGGTTCCAGTGCTCTGAACATAACGTTCCTCCACATGTTGAGATTCCAGTGCTCTGAACATAACGTTTCTCCACATGTTGAGGTTCTAGTGCTCTGAACATAATGTTCCTCCACATGTTGAGGTTCTAGTGCTCTGAACATAACGTTTCTCCACATGTTGAGGTTCTAGTGCTCTGAACATAATGTTCCTCCACATGTTGAGGTTCTAGTGCTCTGAACATAACGTTCCTCCCTATGTTGAGGTTCCAGTGCTCTGAACATAATGTTCCTCCACATGTTGAGGTTCCAGTGCTCTGAACATAATGTTCCTCCACATGTTGAGATTCCAGTGCTCTGAACATAATGTTCCTCCACATGTTGAGGTTCCAGTGCTCTGAACATAACGTTCCTCCACATGTTGAGGTTCCAGTGCTTTGAACATAATGTTCCTCCACATGTTGAGGTTCCAGTGCTCTGAACATAATGTTCCTCCACATGTTGAGATTCCAGTGCTCTGAACATAATGTTCCTCAACATGTTGAGGTTCCAGTGCTCTGAACATAACGTCTCTCCACATGTTGAGGTTCCAGTGCTCTGAACATAACGTTTCTCCACATGTTGAGGTTCCAGTGCTCTGAACATAATGTTCCTCCCTATTTTGAGGTTCCAGTGCTCTGAACATAATGTTCCTCCACATGTTGAGATTCCAGTGCTCTGAACATAATGTTCCTCCACATGTTGAGATTCCAGTGCTCTGAACATAATGTTCCTCCACATGTTGAGGTTCCAGTGCTCTGAACATAATGTTCCTCCACATGTTGAGGTTCCAGTGCTCTAAACATAACGTTTCTCCACATGTTGAGGTTCCAGTGCTCTGAACATAATGTTCCTCCATATGTTGAGGTTCTAGTGCACTAAACATAATGTTTCTCCACATGTTGAGGTTCTAGTGCACTAAACATAATGTTTCTCCACATGTTGAGGTTCTAGTGCTCTGAACATAATGTTCCTCCACATGTTGAGGTTCTAGTGCACTAAACATAATGTTTCTCCACATGTTGAGGTTCCAGTGCTCTGAACATAATGTTCCTCCACATGTTGAGGTTCCAGTGCTCTGAACATAACGTTCCTCCACATGTTGAGGTTCCAGTGCTCTGAACATAACGTTCCTCCACATGTTGAGGTTCCAGTGCTCTGAACATAATGTTCCTCCACATGTTGAGGTTCCAGTGCTCTGAACATAATGTTCCTCCACATGTTGAGGTTCCAGTGCTCTAAACATAACGTTTCTCCACATGTTGAGGTTCCAGTGCTCTGAACATAATGTTCCTCCATATGTTGAGGTTCTAGTGCACTAAACATAATGTTTCTCCACATGTTGAGGTTCTAGTGCACTAAACATAATGTTTCTCCACATGTTGAGGTTCTAGTGCTCTGAACATAATGTTCCTCCACATGTTGAGGTTCTAGTGCACTAAACATAATGTTTCTCCACATGTTGAGGTTCCAGTGCTCTGAACATAATGTTCCTCCACATGTTGAGGTTCCAGTGCTCTGAACATAACGTTCCTCCACATGTTGAGGTTCCAGTGCTCTGAACATAACGTTCCTCCACATGTTGAGGTTCCAGTGCTCTGAACATAATGTTCCTCCACATGTTGAGGTTCCAGTGCTCTGAACATAATGTTCCTCCACATGTTTACCTCATTCACACCAACGCAACTCCAGATCAAGCTCCGTGCTAGAGCTTTTCAGGTTCAGAACCGGTTCTTCGGTTTAGCGGAGACTCTTTTCACACCGCCCAGAGTCCGACTGGTGCTGCGTCATTGCGTCATCGTTTGCGTCATGATGTAACCGTTTGCGTGCCTGTTTCATTAAGCCAAACCGCGCGGAAACCCCTCACAGCTGACACCGACAACAACAACAATGGCCGATTGTGCTCCAGCTTCCTCTGTACCTCTTCGGAAGACCAGATTCCCAGTAGGTAGCTGGTCTCTTCAGTGGACCACTGCTGCTTGTTAAGTTTCTCCATCGTTGTGTACAAGCTGGATAAAACGCGGGCTTCTTGTTGTTGTTCAGGAGTTGATCCCGCCCCTGCCCCTACCCCCGCCTCGACGTAAGCGTGACGTATGTGGTGCTTTTGCTCTGGCCGGACAATTTTTTGGTGCTTGACACGAACCGGATTCCGGAGCTAAGAGGCTGCTCCGCTGCGGTGTGAAGAGGAAAACCCGGTGATTTTCAAGCTCCAGCTCCGAACCGGCCCCGAAACATCGTTGGTGTGAATGAGGTAGTTGAGGTTCCAGTGCTCTGAACATAACGTTCCTCCACATGTTGAGGTTCCAGTGCTCTGAACATAATGTTCCTCCACATGTTGAGGCTCCTGGCAGCCGTACGAGACCGGAGAGTGGCTACTGTTTGGCATTGGCAGAAGAGATTTGTCACATGGGTGCACCCCACAGACTCAGCATGTGACAAATCTCAGCTCTGCTGCTCATCCCACAAATGCTTATTCCTCACAAATGTGGAAAGGTAAGCAAACAGGCTTTCCAACGGTATAAGATGTATTGCCAAAAAGCATTGTTACAACATAGAAATCATCTACCAAACATAAATTGCCTTACTTTTTGTGTTAAGTTGATATGATATGTTTTATAATTATTGATGCATTAAAGTGTTATCAAAGCTGGTGAAGGTGCAGCAGAAAGGAAACAGGAAGTGATCTTACTGATGTTCCTGAAGTCAGGTCTGTCCACAGACGGCGACACAGATAGGGTCTTATTGGTGGGCCCCACGGCCCCCGCCACATAGCGCTTACAACCTGATTACACAAAGAGATTAATATTAATGATACACACATAATTAAATCTCAGAGAGTCAGGGATTGTGTTTATCTGCTGATGTGCTGTAGTAATGAAAAACAGTCTGCTGACCTGTTTGTTTGGTGACATCATCAGCGGCCCTCCTCGCCAGCTCTGCGGACGCCCTGTTGAGACGATAAGCCTGCACAACAAACAAAAACACAACTTGTCAACATTTTAAAGTAAGAAACAAGCTTGCAACTATATGACTTTTTCTTATGGTTACATGGAACCTGAAGTATCCTAAGCTTGTCACTGGAGAACTACATATAAACGCCCTGAATCACACACAGAAAATACAGATGTATAGATGATATGAAGACAACGTATGGAGGCTGATGCTCTACCTGCTAATAATGACAGAAAATAAGGTTGAGATTATGATAATGAAATAAAATCTTTAACAAACTAGAAGGGCACTCCTGAAGTGAAAAACATCAATCATAATGTCTGTTATAGGTCCATAATAAATACAGTTAATGCACCATTTTGTGTGAAGAGAATTGCAATTTAACATTCTTTTTTAAAATTGGAGCCAAAACAATGTTTGAGGTATGAGGTTTGTTTAGACGAGAGGGGCTGTTTTTAAGCCAAGTCGGCTGAGGGCAGGCAGCAGGATGTTGCAGTTTCAAGTGGAGATAAGAGCGAGGTCAAAGAACTCGGTGAAACAGCTGCATGTAGAAATGGAGTCAGTGGTTGTAGCAGTGTCAGACTCAGACTTCATACCAGGAGCTCCAGCCCGTAGTCTGCCTGCGCCACACAGGTGCTGCTGAATGTGTTGGTCTCGATGATGTCAGCACCAGCCAGCAGGTAGTCCTGTAAACACACAGGGCAAAAGTCACACACTGCACACTGTTTTCATGGAGACATGCAGACAGTGGTTTACAGGGAGTTCTGCTGATTATAAGACATGCTCACTCTGTCACTCTGCACTGCTTTGAGCACCACAAACATGATTGAATTTATTTCACCAACATTCAAGATTTTATGTCATAATATATACACAACTAGGGTGTAGTTATATAATGAATGAAAAACTTGGGTCACAGGTTCTTCAACGATTTAAGTCTTTCACATGCAGTGGCGAGCCGTGACTTTTATACCTAGGCCCTCTGACCCCCCCCCCTTCCCTCGGAAAAAAAAGAAGAGATATTACGTGTCAACGTAGACTTCAGCGGAATATCAAAACAGCGGCCCGGGGTGCAAAACGCATCAATGACAGCGACCCTCTACCACACAAAACAACATCATTTATACCTACACCTATCATGACAGGGCACCCACAGCCAAGTAGCAATTACAAATGAATTAAGTCGGCACGGCGGCCGGCATTGAAAATGACTTACCCCCTAATCCCACCAGGAGCGTCTGCACTGCGTTGCACTGCGGCTGCGGCGTTTTTAGTGATCGCGGCCACTCTAGTCAATGGGTGCTATTCCACCAGACACGCTGCGCCGCGCCGCGCCGCGTCTCGAAGCGTCCCAGAAGCTCCTCGCCGCAAGGAATTTCTAAAATATAGGATGAATCCTATTTTTGACGCGGCGCAGGCAGGAAGTGGAATGTTTATCCAACAACTGCGAGGCTGCACACAAGACGCTCCGCTTCCGCAACGTTTTGAAACGCGCCTGGTGGGTTAGGACGCAGGAGGAGGTCGCAGCGCGGCGCAGCCGCAGCGCAGACGCTCCTGGTGCGATTAGGGGGTTAGGCCTACCTTTGATGATCAAATCACTGAAACACAAAGTCCATCCTCCTGTCCTTTTGGATGAAGCACTTGCGGGTCATTCAGCTGATCCTTTGCCACTCCAGTTTATCATTGTAACTCAATCTTGAAAATGACTCGGTTAATAATTTCGCAACGATGTCATCACTATCACTGAAGTGAGCCATCATGAACGAACGTATGCTAATTATAAATCTATCAATCATAAATCTATCGATTAGATTTATGATTCGAAAATAATAAAAGTAGGGTAGACATGTGAATATTATCCGGCTGAACAAAACGTGCATTTATCTAACAGGTTCGTTTTCCACAGACCTTATTTCCAGCTATTTTCCAAAACCCGCTTTCTGTCGAGGGAATCCGAGCGAAGCTTACTTCCGGGCGGAACTTGTCATAAAGTCCGCGAAAATAAAGCCCGCCCATTTAGAGTACAAGATATGATTGGTCAATTGTACTGTCATTTGACATTGCTCTCTCGTTAAATTACTGGCCCTACTAGCTGGCCCTCTGTGAATGTAGAGAGGGACCAACAAGCTCTCCCGTCTTCACAACTCGCAGAGACGGCATTTAACCCTTCACATTCCAACAGAAACTGAACAGGCAGATTCGAAGGATTTATTTCTTTGGAAATATTATTTTAAATACAATTAAATCAAGTTATTTTGGTAAAACTAATGAAAAATGTAACAAGAAAAAAATATAAAAAATAATATTTTAAAAAAAAGTTTAAAAAAATAAAATGTTTTCAAATATAATTTTTTAGAATATCTAATGGCGCGTTTCCACTGCAGCGGGTAGCCCCGTTTAAGCGTCCTTAACCGTCCTCAAGCGGCCAGGCCGGTTTTTGGTGGCGTTTCCATATAGCCTAGTACCGGCCAGCGGGTACTTTTTCCCTCTTATTCCGGCCTCATAAAATCGTGGTTCCCTCAGACCAGGGCCCGGGCTGAACTAGTGACGTCAACACTCTCGACTGCTGATTGGTCAGAGAGAATCGTCACAATATTGCGCGCGAGTTCATCCATAGCGTCGCATATATATCTAGAAGCAAGCTTGCAGCATTTTTATACACAGCATTTTGTAAACGGAGGAGCTACAAAAATGGCTACTTCTAAGAAAAGCACACCGTGGTCGACCGAGGAGGTGACGACGTTCCTTCATCTCATTGGGGATGATAAAATCCAGCGGGAGCTCGACGGAACAACTCGAAATGTGAACAAAAACAAAGCCGATCGCCCCGCCTACACTGCGTTGCTAGCCCAGGTCCTAAACTGTAATGGAAATGCGCCACGGCCTGGGCCGGCCAGCGAGGCAGCCCGAGGCCAGAGCGAGGACGCTTAGGGACGCTTAAACGGGGCTACCCCGCTGCAGTGGAAACGCGCCATAAGGCCCTCACAGAGGGCCTAGAGGGCCCTGACGGCTCGCCACTGTTCACATGAAAGGGTTTAGTAACATTCCTTCTTTAGGAGACACTACTGTGGCTTTACATCTTGTTGTTGCTATGAGATGTACTGGAGACCAATTAAGGACCCAAACCAAAGAAAATGGTGCAAGGCAGACTTTGGGCACATATGTGAAAATCATTCTTAGTAATGCTTTGAATTAACAAAAGGATCAGATTAATAAAACACACAAATTCTGACTGTAAAAATTAGAACAGATGTTTCCTGTGACAGTCCAATTTGGCTGTGAAGATAATAAAAACACATCTAATAAGTAAAATGTAATGTAAGGTATAATGATCAAGCATTATTGGGATATAGTTATGATGAGGAAAGTACCGATGACTTTGTGTGTGTGTGTGTGTGTGTGTGTGTGTGTGTGTGTGTGTGTGTGTGTGTGTGTGTGTGTGTGTGTGTGTGTGTGTGTGTGTGTGTGTGTGTGTGTGTGTGTGTGTGTGTGTGTGTGTGTGTGTGCACCCCACTCTACCGGAGTCCTCAGCAGACAGAGAGAGACAGCAGCATGCTGAACCATATTTGTATATCTAACTCTGGGATTTATGGTGTTCTTTCCACCAAAATAAAGTTGGTCATTGTTAGAACAGTGGAGAGACTAACCAAAACGTTTTGGTACATGTGTTTCTGTCAAGTGTGAAGTGTGTTTTAAGGTTGTATTTGTCTGTAATAATGAAAAAGGTTGAAAAATATTTCCTTACTTGACATTCTGGGAGTTTATGTTTGTTAATTGAATAGACTTAAGAAAACAAACAGCTAATAAACTATGTTAATAACAGTTAACTCACATTTCATTTGGAATTTAGCTTTTTGTATATTTTATTCCATGATAATATTTCTCTTTAGTTTTTAATGTATGTATATTTTTGCTCCTTCTTTAACAACTAATGTCCTTATACTATGTTTATGTTTGCACCACTTACCCCACAGCAAATTCCTAGTATGTGTAATCCTATTTGGCAATAAAGATATTTCTGATTCTGGGCTAGCAAAAAAAATGTTTGTCTTTGACAATTTAATGGTGTTTTTTTTTTTCTTCCAATAATCTTTCTAGTTTGTACTTGGCTGGCATTAGAACATTCTGAAAAGCACAATCCATAACACTGAAATGACCTGCCTGACTGATACCTCTCAGGGTTATTACTAGTGGTGCACGATAATTATCGGCCCGATATTAGGAATTATGACGTCATCCCGATAAACCCGATACCAGTATTAATAGCCCCGATAATATACAATATATCTTTTGGGTAAATGTGGGTGGATTGGGATGAGGGGCGCTTGTTTTTCACTCGGCTCCTCCCGTTTTGCCAGTACTGTGGTATTAGTGGTTTAGGAAGAGGGGAGTTTTTCACAAATCCAGCGCTCCCTAACTCATGCCTGGCTGTGACGTAAATGGTGTGCGGCCGTGAAGCCAGGACAGTAAACAAACATGTCGTCGGTAGTATGGGACTATTTCAAAGTTTCAGAGTTAGATAGTTCGCTTGCTATTTGTATTAACAAATGCAATGCAGAAGTTCCACGAGGAGGGAAAAAGGCAACAAGCTATAATACTTCCAACCTGATTAGTCACCTGAAACATCGCCATCGCTACGATGGTGTGTTAAAAGCGTACGAATCCAAAGCCAGCTGCAAAGGCACCGGGGCTTTTACCTATCGAAGAGGCTTTTAAAAAAAAGGCAAGAAGTTTGCCAGAGACGACCCCAGGGCTAAAACTATCTCTAACTTCATCATAGAAATGATGGCGCTTGACGAGAGTCAAAACTGTTCTTGGCTTTGTTTTGTTCATAGTAGTAATGCTCATGTCATTTGCTCACTACTAGTCTTTTTTTTACCACCAGGTGTGCAAAAACTACAGGTACATTTAATATATATATATAGGGATGTCCCGATCACCTTTTTTTGCTCCCGATCCGATTCTGATCATTTGATTTTGACAATCTGCCGATACCGATTTTTCCCGATCCGATCTTTATGCAATGCATTAAGACAAAAAAAAGGTAACAGATAACGGCTGGTCATCCAACGCGATGAATTCAGCTATCTTGGCTGTTATTGTTTTGGCCTTTTCACTGTTCTGGGGAAGTTTCTCTTTCCTTTTAAAAGTCTCTGAAAGTGTCGGTTGTTTCAGTGCCGTTACCTGAGTGGCCGCTGTGAACTCGTCGTGTTGTTGTTGGTGTTTGTTTCTCAGGTGGCGTATTAAATTGGTCGTGTTGAACGTAGCTCCGTTCTTTCCACCAAGCGGAACCTCCGCCTTGCAAACATTGCATCTGGCTGTTACACTGCCTTCGCTTTAAATTTTATAATACTTCCAAACTGCTGACATTTTCTCTGTCCCGAGTCACCAGCTGAACGTAGCCTCTCGTTAGCTTACTGCTACTATTAGACACTGCGCCCACTCTGTTGCCAGATTTGAGAGAAATAAGCAACCAGGTATGAAAACAAGCCCAAAAGAAGCAACACATACATGATGAAACTAAGGCCTCAGGATGACTTAAGACGTGAACATGGTCATTTTTGTTTTGTAACATTAAATAAAATACAAATATTTTATAGAAAAAAAAATCCCGATCCCCAATTTTTTTCTCCCGATTCCGATCTTTTGAAAATCACGTGATCGGCTCCGATCCCCGATCACGTGATCGGATCGGGACATCTCTATATATATATATTATATTATTATCAGTTATCGGTATCGGTCTTGAGAAGCAGGAAGTTATCGGTATCGGTATCGGTTTCAAAAAAACAATATCGTGCATCCCTAGTTATTACTGAAGTATATTTCCCCTGGATGATTACCTTGTGTATCGTGTAAATGATTTCTGGCTGTGTGAGACTGAGGAGGTCGTTGTTGCCCCTCAGAGATAGAGGGTGTTCTTTAAACTCCTCTCCCCTGAAATCTTCCTCTTCAAGTTTATGCTGCTGGATCATGGTGCCCATACCCCCATCCAAGACCATGATCCTTTGCTGCAGCACTGCTCTCAGCTCGGACTCCAATGGACAACTGCATCCTGGAAAAATAAATCGAACCTACATTTATCAAGGATTTTACACAAAGACAACAGGACTTTAATTAAAAAAAAAAACAAATAGGATAAGTGATTACATATTATTAAGGAACATAAGATCTTCTCGTGTTCTCATGGAGTAAATCTGCCTAATTTCTGAAATTCACTGGTGATTCTTACTGGTACTGATTTCACTACAGTATAAATCACTTAATAATTAATCATAACGTTTCTTGATCGGGAAGAAACATTTAAAAAAACAAAAACATAATGTTATGCTGAATAATCTCTACGCAGCAGATTATCTCTACTAACAGTCAGTGTTCCTGTCTAATGAGTTCTAGGGACCTTTGAAAGATGCTACAAGCTCTAAAGGCCCTGACACACCAAACTGACACCAAAGAACACGTCCCGACGGACCCGATTGTTGCATCGCCTCAAGTCCCTGACACACCAAGCAGTCACCAGAGAACTCGCTGACGCCGACGCAACAGTCGGCGTGTTATCCTGCGTCTTGGTCATGTGTCGCACTGGAACACACCGCAAAGACTTCAGCTGAGCACGTACGAACTGCGCATGCATGAGCGGCAATAACTCTCCTTACCAGCAGGCGGCGGTAGTGTGTATTCGTCATTCAAAAGAGGCAACAACCGGAAGACAGAGAAGAAGAAAAGACTACGTGATATAAACAAACAACAAATAGCGTGTGCGTTCCATTTTCACTCTCGTCCATCGAAAACATGTTTCTTGCGGCACTGGAGCTATCAGCCATTGGAGTGTTGCTTGTGGAAGACATTCTCAAGCAACCGTTTCGCTTCTCATGCACTGATTCGCTAACTGAACAGCCAATCAGAGTGATTTCTTTGTCCGACTGCCTGTGGCCGACGCCGTCGGCCATGATAGGCCAAATAAGGCGTGTCACGGCCGGCGGTGCGGGACACACCAAATTGAGTTTGAGCGACAGGGCACGCTTCGTCGTCCGACTAACGAAAATGGCCGATTTCGGCCTGGTGTGTCAGGGCCTTTACACATCAAGCCGATTTCGGCCGTCGATAGATGTCGGGCCGTCGAGTCGCCCTACTCAGATTGGTGTGTCCCGCACCGTCGTGTCTTTTCGGCCGTGACCACACCTTCCGCCGCCGATTCAACATGTTGAATCGGGAGGCTGTTTTGATTTTTTTTACATTGGCTGTTCAGCTTAGCGAATCAGTGCATGAGAAGCGAAATGGAAGTGAGGGACCCAAACAAACTATTAAGAAGGTAAATCTGAGATGTGATTTAACTCCAGCTCTCGACACAGGTTCGGGAAAGCCCCATGAGCTTCTCGTTGTAGAGTGAAAATGGAACGCACACGCTATTTGTTGTTTGTTTATATCACGCAGTCTGTTCTTCTTCTCTCGGTGTATCACGCAGTCTGTTCTTCTTCTCTGTCTTCCGGTTGTTGCCTCTTTTGAATGACGAATACACACTACCGCCGCCTGCTGGTAAGGAGTTATTGCCACTCATATGATATTGATATTCACATCGCAGGACGTGACGATTTAAAAAAAAAGAAGAAAATCTTATTTATTTATTTTTTATTTTGTAGGAAAATTAACTCAAACACGTCATGTTACAATTATTTTGCTGCTTGCTAAAAAAGGAAAACTTGCGCGGCTCTCATTTCAGGGGTACTTGAGTGAGTGACATGCAGGCTCTGCATGCACAGCAAACCACCAATCACAATCAAATCTCCAAAACAAACGGACCCGGTGATTAAAGGTAAAAACACTGAATAAAGTAGTTTCATGTGTTTCTCCAGGGCAGTTTGGCGCTGCTAACCGAGCTAGCTCAACTTGTTGCTCTGATAACTTAAGATCCAGATGTCCGTGACTAAAATCCTTCATCTGGTTAAATACAGTTAAAAAAATACCAATTGTATAGCTTTAAAGTTCAAGAAAGGATGGTTTGCGGGAAAAAAAACTGTCTTTTCTTCAATTCCTGTATGTTTTCATATCGCAATATATATCGCAGAGGGGAAAAAAATTGCAATGTCAATTTTTTTCAATATCGTGCAGCTCTAGCTTTAGTGTCTATTCTTAATTCAAAAGAGGCAACTGGAAGACAGACAGCGTGATATATACAAACAACAAATAGCGTGCGTTCCATTTTCACTCTCGTCCATCACAGACTGTTTCACATAACGAGTTATAATCGAAAACATGTTTAGTGCGGTACTGGACAATGGAAAATAATAGCCGTCTCGCTGTGTGTGCCTTCTTCACTTCTGTTTCGCTTCTCATGCACTGATTCGCTAAGCTGAACAGCCAATCAGAGTGATTTATTTTGCCGACAGCCTCCCGATTAAACATGTGTGTCCGGGCCTTAAAGGTCCTTACACACCAAACTGACACCAAAGAACACGTCCCAACGGAACGTCGCCTCACGTCTCCTGGCCAAACAGTCGCACTGGAACACACCGCAAAGACTTCAGCCGACGGCCAAGTAGCACGTACGCACTGCGCATGCGTGAGTGGCAATAACTCCTTACCAGCAGGCGGCGGTAGTGTGTATTAGTCATTCAAATGAGGCAACAACCGGAAGATAGACTGAGTGATACACCGAGAGAAGAAGAACAGACTGCGTGATATAAACAAACAACAAATAGCGTGTGCGTTCCATTTTCACTCTACAACGAGAAGCTCATGGGGCTTTCCCGAGCCTGTGTCTAGAGCTGGAGTTAAATGAAATCTCAGATTTGCCTTCTTAATAGTTTGTTTGGGTCCCTCACTTCCGTTTCGCTTCTCATGCACCGATTCGCTAAGCTGAACAGCCAATCAGAGTGATTTCATTGGCCGACGGCACGGTCGAAAAGACACGACGGGGCGGGACACACCAAGACACACCAATCTGAGTAGGGCGACACGACGCTCATCGACGGCCGAAATCGGCTTGGTGTGTAAGGGACTTAAGAGAAAAGCGATATTTCGGTGCTTACAAGTTAACTTACTAATAAATCTGTGACTGTGGCCCAATCCCAAACCACGCCCTACACCCTACCCCTCCGTTCGCGCGGCGGGTCCGCCACATTGAGTGCTCTTCCAAACCAACGAGTGTGGAGCGGTGTGGAGGGGGAGTGGGTTATCAAGCCTCTCTACCTGACCGGTCTCAACGCTGTGTGTGTCCCTCAGGAAACAAGCTGTTAACAAGTAGTTCCAGCAAACATCCACTGATAAATTGCGATGTTAACAACCTCATGATTGCCTCATATGTTTTAACTTAGGATCGTACCTGTGTTTAGTCTAGAAAAAGGTAAATGTGTGCATTTTATTTTAAAGTTGTGTATATTTACAGACTGCTACAAAAACTAAGAAGCTTATAAAAATCCAGTTCAACACTAAAAGAGCTTTACAAAAAAGTAACACAATGAAAGATGTTTGGAGTTTTATTTGAGTTATTAATTTACATTTTTTGTCAAAGAGATGCTGATTTGAAACCGTTGTTACATACAGTTACGGCATTTCCTGTTTCTGCCGGAGAGAGGGGAGGCCATCCCAAAGCTTGCTGCTGTATTTACTCCCGTTTGAATTGTGCCATGAATTACACATATGATGTTTGTCAATCTTAAAAAATAATTTCCATGTAAAAAAAAATCAGTTTGTCGTAAAACTGTTGAAATATAAGACTATGAAAAATATGCAACTAGAAAGACTACAAATCCCAGAGTCGTTACACATTACACTCGTGTTACTCACCGAAACCTTGTAAAGCCGGTCCGCATGCTGGCTCTTACGGAACCGACTAACTCCCCTGTTGTGTATGTACAGTTCTCAACATGGCCAGACTTGTAGTGATTTTCACCTCTTTTAATACTTTTCACTTCATTCTGAAAGAAAGAGGTGAAATGTGCTAACATGACGGCCATCTTGGTGTTGGTGACATATGCAAGACTAGAGTTGTAGTTCATTGAGCGCTTCACACAAAAAAATGTGTTACTTCACAGTTTTATGACACATTTTAATTTTTTTGACTTGCAAAACTATCTTTTAAATTGACAATCATATGTGTAATTTGTTGCACAATTCAAACATAATCAAAATATATTCTTTCTCTCTCCATTGACTTCAATTCATGATTTTTCCAAAATAATGTCCCATGGAGGTCCACCGGAAAGGGAGGGACTTCGCCACTCTATCTAATCAAGCTAAGAATGTTAGAAAACAATGTTGGTGGCAGCTACAAAAGTATTACCATTATTAATGAAGATATGAACAGAGGAGCCACTATGAACTCGATGTTGCTCCTGAGCCAAACACTTCTCCCCCACCCGGTTGCCAGTTTGAGATAGATTGCCATATTAGTGTTCAAAACAAAATGCAAGCAGCTTATGCAATAACTTGTTCCGTTGTGTTTTAGTGATTAGTAATGACTCATAACTGCTTCTGAAATAGCTGACTCTACAGAAACTAACATCCGGCTGCGTGTCATATAGTAACTTAGTTCGTTAAACTTCACTTACACACACGTGGTGTTATAAGTGGGCAGCAGACACAGTTAGCGCTGCATGCTAAAGGCTAACAGTTAACGTCGGGAAGCTAACAGAGGTATATTTACCCGCTTCTGAAGAGTACTTAATGACATTAGTCGGGGCCATGTTGTGAAGAGGCAGACTGTTAAAACGCCTGATAGTCCGTCTGAAAAGAGAGAGCCTAATGTTTGAAGCTTTCAGACCCAAGCCATCTGCTGTTATTTTCCCGGAAACTCAGCTGCTTGGATCGAGGTCGTTTGAAGTGGCAACATTTACACTTCCGGCTAAAGACCTTCACAATAAAAACGTGACCACACTAACTTACGCTAACTATAGATGACATTTCATGTCATTTGATCGTTTAGCTTAATTTCATTCAAACGCGTGGTCATAATAACGAAAAAAATCAATGTTTTTTAGCTATGCAATAGATGGATAAAAAACGCCTAACTTTTTATATACTCTTGACCTAACAATCAACATCGGCACCTCAGTTGTTTCCCCGACTCAGACTGCAAGGAATCTGGGTGTGACCCTAGATAACAACCTGTCCTTCACTGCAAACATCGCTGCTACAACCCGCTGCTGCAGATACACGCTTTACAACATCAGGAAGATACGTCCCCAGCTGACTCAGAAAGCGACTCAGGTTCTGGTCCAGGCTCTCGTCATCTCACGCCTAGACTACTGCAACTCCCTCCTGGCTGGTCTACCTGCATGTGCCATCCGACCTCTGCAGCTCATCCAGAATGCAGCGGCTCGTCTGGTCTTCAACCTTCCTACATTTTCCCACACCACTCCGCTCCTCCGCTGCCTTCACTGGCTTCCGGTAACTGCTAGAATCCACTTCAAGACACTTGATTGATTGATTGATTGATTGCAAAGTGTATTAACAGCTTGTATATTGGGTACAGTACAGTACAGCTCAAAACATACAATTGTTACGGGGATGCAGACCAGAGAAAGACTTTCGTCTTGTTTACATCAGGGTCCCCAATTTCCAATTCATCATGTCATACCGCATACTGTTGCCCGAATATGGAAGCAAACAAGAGACAGAAGTATTTTAATTTTATTAGACACCGAATTTATAGCATTGAAAATAATTACTTTGAAAATCATGTATCTGAATGTTTTTGCTCCGAATTTACCTATGTGAAATAAAAATGTAAAAATTCAAGTGAAAAAAATTCGAATGTTCAAATTCAGATCCCAAAAATTCAAGTGAAAAAAATTCGACGTCAAAAAATTCGGTGCATAAAATTCGATGTCCAAAATTGCGATGCAGCATCATCCGGGCTACTCAGACAGGATAAGCAATCGAGCCCTAATGCAATCAAACCGACTTCTGGCCTATCAGAGCACGGCTTTGTCAGTCATGTGATCACAACAACCCGGGAGAAAAATGACGGAGAACAGCGGGGCTCGCCGCTCGGGTAAGTAGTCAGTTTGTGCTCTTTATTTTACTTGCTCGACAGCATTTGTATCTTACATTAGCTAGCTAAATGAGTGAAGTAGTTATCATTAATTGAAGTGAATCACGTTACCGTGTGTGTGTGTGGGGGGGGGGGTGACGGTTTGCAAAGTAACATAACGATCACATCGGTTAGATAAGTCAAGTAGACCATGCTACACTATACGAAATACACTCTTACAAAAGCCCTGCATTTAAACATGTTAATGTTACTTTAGTAAAAGTATGCTAGTATAATTAGGAAAGTGTTGTTAAAGTATTTAAAGTAGACACAAGTTATACTATTATATGATATCATTTGATTTATTGTTATTACCGATGCACGAGTTGACTTAACTGTTGTAGTTGGAGCTCATTTTGAACAATGAGCTAACTAATTATTAATTTCATAATGGTTTAATGTGCTGACTATTTTCTACATTAATAGATTAAGGTCTGGTTTGTTCAAAGTCTCAAAATAGTAGGATATGCTGTCATAATTACCCAGAGTCCGAAGTGACACCTTTACAATGTTAAAGCTGTTAGATAAATGTAGTGACGTAAAAACTAAAGTATTCAAGATAGTGTAGTGGAAAAGAGATAATGTTTTTTTTTTTTAAATGTTACCAAAACAAAATCTCTTGTTTTGGACTGACAGTAATGATTCAAGAAATAGTAGATAAATAAATACACACATCAATTTGTTGTGGATGGAACACAACAAATGGTGCTCTTACCTGTGATGCCTCCTCCAAACATTATAACCAGACTGTATCATTAAAACTATAAGTAACAGTTCTAGCTACTTGACTTCAGACAAACAATTCAAAAGACAAAATCAACACAATTTATTGAAAGACCAATCTTTATTTCTCTCCTTTTGTTTGTGTTATTAAACCCTGTCAATCTAAAAAACTGAGCAACTCAACAGTTAATTTTATATTTCTTATCCTCCAAAGCATCTATTACACTATTTGTTCCCCTCTCATAATCACAGAATGGATGATTAGAGACTTTGGGGGAAACCTCAGCTTTATGAACGTCCTGTCTGTTGGTTTGGCCAGAGAGGGCTGAGGGTCTTTCCCTGCGAGGAGGACCAGGCCTGAGGGAGGAGGACCTGCACCAGCTGCACCTACAGAACTTAGCCCATGCTGGACATAGCTGTTACCACCTGCACAGGCCTGTCAATTAACAGATTAACATTGAGTGTAACTTATGTATATTATTTCGTTTTTATTTTTTTTAAAAATGGTGATGGTTCATGCTTGATAACTTTTAGTTCACATTTCAATAAATTGTATTTGCACTCCTTTTGTCCGTTATTCTTACTGAAAATGTTAAATTACACATTCACATCTGACTGAAGATTGGCACCATTTATTTATGACGTTGCAAACTCGGCGGTACAAGGCACAAGTGATGTGAAGCTCATATAGTGAGGCAAATGCATTTGATCAGCTGACTTTTATCACATCAGCTTCTCCTTTCCCTCTTGGATGTTCTTCTGGACCCTCAGAGAAAGAGAACATGGTGAAGCAGTCCTGTCTCTCAGGCGTGTCCTTTCCTAACAGAAATATCAAGAAACATATTATTGCAGAGCAAGTGTGTTATTTAAGAAAGAGGTGTGTTTGTTTGTTCATAAATATAATGATTTTCTTATTTGAATGTGTTTTTTAAATCCAACAGTGTACTACAAAGATAATCAGATTATAAATAAACCGTTCTAAATTCATCAACATTGAAATAAATGTATTATTCAAATAATATTTAACTGTTATCAAAACTTAGTGCAACTGTAGAAGCTTGCTTTGTCCGGTTGTCTCACTGAAAGACAAAGGGTCGCAGCTCTCACTATGTTCAATAATATTTGCCTTAAATACATTGAAATGTGAAAGTTGAACAAAAAAGTGATGTTGCTTGGTAAAATGTAACCTTTAGCTAAGAAAGTGCTCTCAACATCACTGATGTGTAGGTGATCTAGTATTCAGTCATGTTTAATGGCATGTATATCAGTGTATTAGAGTCATTACTTTATGCATTCTTTGTAAAGCATGAAAAAGGTATATGCACCTTGTAATCCGTGCTGAAGTTCTCTGCTGCTAGAAGTCCAGATCTGTCTCTCCTCCTCTAGTCCAGCCTGTCTGGATCACCTTGAGGACACTTTGAACAAACAGATGTAAAGTTACATTACTTACAGACTTCTTTACATGCAAACTACTTTTTTATCTTCTTTTAAAAACAGGTCATAATCTTATTGTTATACTTCAGAAATTGCTGGATATCACAGTCCTTATACTGTATCAGTTTGATTGAGCATTATTGTGTAGGTCCTATTTATTTTACTGTTACTTTGGATGAGGTTTTCATGAGTCAGTCATATTAATTTGTTTTCATATGCCATATTCATATGTATCACACACGTAAGGGTAAGACACAAACCTATTGAACAAATGCAATGGATAAGCTTCATTTCCACTGAAGTCACAGATAACGTCATATCTACTATTTAAACATAATTTCCTTGTCACTAAAGCATTGACTACGCTATTCATCGTCCTTAAATGCAGGAATTAAGTTACATGTTCTGTTCTACAGCCACGATGAGGCTGTTTCTCAAGTGTGAGGATAATACAATTAAAAGAGGCATTGGTAATAATATTAAAAACAACAATGTTTGGGTCGTTCGTCGGATAGGCGGTTAGCTGCAATAAATAACTCCAGTTCAACAAACCATATTATAATATCTAAGGGAGCGTTATTTCTGGACCATCTTGAAATGTGACGTTCATATTTTAAAGATACACACATTTCATTGTGAGGTTGATTTCATATACACTAAGCCTCTCTTCAACAATACGTTGACGTTAGCTAGTCTATTTTATGCTATAGTAGAGCATAGCGAATTTAAATGAACCTTAACAATGCATACAGTAACCTAAATAGCAAACTAACTATCTAACGTACAAGGATGACCTTATTTGAGCAACCTCGCACAGAAGCCTTTTGGTATACAGTAGCATCCCACTTAATGTTTTACACTCTTGAATGCTACGCATAGCATCGTTAGCACAGATGGAGCTACGATTGCTCAAATGCTAACCCAACTCTAAACATTCATTAACGTTAGCTTAATAAAAACACCAGTAACATAACATAAAGTACGCAGGGTTGACTTACCGAAGAAACTGCATTCATGGACGGTCTGTTTCAACCGCAGATAAATCCTATATTTGCATGACGAATAGTCCACCAGGAGCCAACACAACAAACACGGCCGAGTTCAAGTAGTGTTCTCCTCATGCGCTGAGCCGCTGTAGCATCACGGAGCTAACGGAGCTAGGAGCAGCAGTCCCGTTGTCATGAAGGGGGAATCTAACTATATACAGAATATGTTTTTGTGGATCCAGGTTAGAAACATGTTCATTTTCTGATGTTAAGTTGGACATTTTAACATAGGGTCTACGGGAATTGCTCCCATCTGCATCCATCGCCTACAGTTTGCAGCATTGGGCTTCACCGCACTGTCCCGGGGTTTGCCGCTTGGCTCTGATAGGCCAGAAGTCGGTTTGATTGCATTCGGACTCGATTGCTTATCCTGTCTGAGTAGCCCGGATGAGGCTGCATCGCAATTTTTGACGTCGAATTTTATACACCGAAATATTTGACATCGAATTTTAAACACCGAAATATTTGACGTCGAATTTTTTTCACTTGAATTTTTGGGATCTGAAGTTGAACATTCGAATTTTTTTAACTTGAATTTTTACATTTTTATTTCACATAGGTAAATTCGGAGCAAAAACATTCGTATGTATGATTTTCAAAGTAATTATTTTCAATGCTATAAATTCGGTGTCTAATAAAATTCAAATACTTCTGTCTCTTGTTTGCTTCCATACCCGAAGGCAAC